CCAAGACCCCCCTGCCCCCCCTCCAGCCAAGCATTCCCTTAGCCCTGGTGACATTCTGGATTTTGAAGCATCAGTCCATGGAGCTGCTGAATGATGCCCAGAGCTCACCCAATGCCTTCAGTTTCTCTTTGCAAGACAGACATCAGTGTTTAAATCCCGGGAGCCTCTGGGTTCTTTGGAGGCTGCCTTGTGCGTGTCCACCCAGCAAACATCTGTAAATCATTACACACCCATGGCGTCTCCTCTGCCCCCACCCTTCCCTTCCTTACCCCCCATCCTATGAGCACGTCCATCACGGGCATCTCCGTGCCCCCTCCAAGTCCCGCCAGTTCCGCCTGTTCGAATTCCAACAGGCTTCACCGTTTCTTGTATTGAAATGTTACTGTAATTTACATAATAGTGTGATTTACATAAATGCAAACGATTCCTTACATCGTCAGTCTAGCAGCTGCGCTGAAAGAAATATTTTATTTTTACCCTTCGTCTCTGCCTGAGATCGGGACTGTGAGCGTGGAGAGGCGGGAGCCCCCTAGAAAGTGACTGGGGCTATGGGACAGGTTCCTGACAATGTGAACTGGCTCAAAAGTCCATGTTCACAAGAGCAACCTGTCTACTGGTGGGCCAGGTGAGTCCCTGACACCAGGTGGGGATCCCCAGAGCCTTCTGAGAGCAAGCCCAGCAGCCAGGCTCCTCCAGGGTGACACTTCCTTTCCCTGGAGGGTTCATCATAACGTCTCCAGGTGGAGGGATCCCGTGGGGATAAAGAGAGACAGTTCAGCTGACATCTGCCAGGGGTGCTCAGGGCTTTCCGCAGGACCTCTCAGTGTTGGGAATGGTCTCTACACGTGTGCTGGCCAGCATGGTCGCCACCGACCACAAGGGGTTACTGAAACACAACTAGTGCCACTGAGGAACCACACTTTTTAGTTAATTAATTTGAACTTTTAACACGCATATACTCAGTACTCACTATGGGGCTATGTTGGGTCTGCCGATAAAGGTTTTCTAGTTTAACCTCATGACGGTGCAAGCTAGCTACCTTAGAGTCCCATCTTAAAAATGGCAAAGCCAAGGCTCCGGCAGTTACATGACTCACCCAAGGTCAGGGAGCTGGAGCATCTTGGGTTGACCCGAGCAGGCATCTGAAACAGCACAGCTATACTGCC